TTAGGCAACACTGCCCCCTAGAGGCCCTGGGGTTTCCTTTCACAGGCCTGTAAACCCACACCTGTTTCAGTCTGTCCACCTGTTCTGTCCCCTACTCTGTCTCTGGTGTATCTTCTCACCCCCTGCACCTCTGGCCTGTACCCCAGCTCTTGTATGCATAAACAAATAAATCTTTAAAAAAATAGTCAAGCCCACAGGTGGGGCTTCTCCAAACCCCTCCTAACCCAGTGGGCCCCTGGCTCAACAGGAGTCTTAAGAGTCATCAGCAGATGATCTCAGGTGAAGGGTGGACATCCTGGATTGCTGGGAATGAGAGGCAAACACTGGGGTGATGGCCGTCTTCAGGTATCAAGGCAGAGCTGGTTTCATGGGCTTAGGCATAGGTCAAAACTCATCAAGGGCCTCCTGGGTGGCCTAAGGGTTAGCTCTCAGCACTACCACCTTGACTGCCTGAGTTCGATCCCCAGACAGGGAGGTGACCCACAGGGCGCAGCAGACCTCTCCTGTGTCCCTGCTGTCTCCCCAGCAGTGTATTTCAGTCTGCCTGTTCTGTTCCCTACTCTGTCTCTAGGGAATCCTCTCACCCCCCGCATTTCTGGCCTATACCCCAGTGTTTGTATGCATAAATAAATAAATCTTTTTTAAAAAATAAGCTTCACCTTACAAATCTAGCCACGTAGAGTGACAGAAAGCTGGTTAGTGGCAGACAAGGGCTAGAAGTAGGGGAACGAAATTACCACAAAGGGATGTGATAGATTTTTGAAGTGATAAATGTTTTCTGTCATGTCAAAATTCATCACCAGATATGGTTAAAATAGTGAATGTGTGAACCGATGTTACCTCAATTAAAAATAGTGATAAGGGGGGGAGGGAAAGTGAGGAAAAAATAATGATAGCAATTCCAAAACTAATTTGATTAGAATAGATGCCTAATCTGTGTACACATAATTGTAATATCAGGGGAAAGTGCTGAATGTTATCATACAATAACTATGTTTCAATACAGTTGATCTTCAAAAATCTAACCCTATGAAAATAGAATACTCTTTTTAAAATAACTCTTGGGCCTAAGAAAATTAAAAGTGAATTATATACAAATGAATAGTAACAAGGATACAGGCTATCAAATCTGTGGGATGTAATTAAGCATGAAAAACCAAATTAGTATATAAACTAAGCCTTCAAGTCATTATTCTGGGGGGGAAAGGGAGAAAAGTTAGAAAGTTAAGCACAGGGCCTCTCTAGTGGCACAGGGGGTTAAGATGCAACCAAAGAAACTATCCGCAGTCACTGCAGCACAAGTTTGATCCCTGGCCAGGGAGCTGACCCACAGGGCGCAGCAGGCCTCTCCTGTCTCCCCGCTGCTCCCCTCAGCAATGTACTTCGGTCCATCTGCCTGTTCTGCTCCCTACTCTGTCTCTGGTGGATCCTCTCACCCCTGCACCTCTGGCCTGCACCCCAGCTCTTGTATGCATAGATAAATAAAAATAAATCTTAAAAAAAAAGACTCAAGAAGAAATAAAAAATCCAAATAAGTCAATAATAGGAGGCACCACTCAGTGATAGCGTGTTTCACTGCAAATAAATCAGTAAAAAAGGAAGAAACTGAGCTCTTCCTGCCAGCTTGTGACCATACAAGTGTACTTTACTTTTCTAACCCTTTTCCTAATAAACCTGCTTTTTAAATATTGGGGAAAAAAAAAAAAAGGAAGAAACCGGAAGCACGTCAAAGCCAGGCCGGGAGCGGCCGAGTCCAGACCTTTTGCGGGCTCGCCCTGCCAAATGTGCAAGGATGAGCTAATTAGGATTTTATTTATATTCTTAAAGAACAGGGTCACAACTCACAGTTTGTTTTTTAAAGATTTATTTTTATTTATTTATGCATATAGGAGCTGGGGTGCCGGCCAGAGGTGCCTGGGAGAGAGGACTCACCAGAGACAGAGCGGGGAGCAGATCAGGCAGATCCCCTGAGACACACTGCTGAGGGGAGCAGCGGGGAGACAGGAGAGGTCTGCTGCGCCCTGTGGGTAGCTCCTGGCCG